ATAGACCATAGACGTATATATCAACATAGACTGAGCATGCCAGCAACGAGCAGTGACGACACCTTTTGCAGTTGTTCGATCTGTCTCTCTCTAGCGCATTGAAACTCCACACTCGCTCTCTCCCGAACAAAAAGAGACGCTGCTATACTTCACACACTTCAGACAACCAAGATAGTGTCGTCACTTAGCTCTACAAAGTGTTCGGTCTATGTTAATATATATATCGTCGTCGACACAAGAAAACCGGTTAACTCCAATTTTTACTTAAAATGAGATTTCACTGCCAACTTTTAGCAAATCGCCTATTCTAGCCATCCGACAAATAATACGTCATTTAAATGTAGATTTCTAATTTTAAAATGTTTACTAGAAAAGCAGGTATCTCCCTTGTCAAAAAAATTATGTTTGTAAAACACGTAACTCCGCGCATTTTCTGTTAAGTCTGTTAAGTGATTATGGCCGTTGATTTAATTTGTTGTTTTGGAGGGATTTGTTGTTTTGGAACATGCTTTTAATAAGTTGTAGACATAGACATGGACAGAAAAGAGAACGTTGGTAGTATTTGAAGCACCAAAACGAAAGAGGGATAGAAAAAATGAAGATGTATCACGGAGGTCTAGGACATTAAAATATTATTTGAAAATTGGAGAAGATAAACGAATGGTATGCAAAAAAAATGTTTTTGTCAACTCTGGGCCTTAAAGATTGGTTTGTTATGAATTGCAAACAAGAAGATGATTCTGCTATTACAGAAAATTTGGATAATGAACCACAACAAGCGCCTAAAGGACTTCACAAGAAGGAGTTGGGCAATCGTTATAGTTTTTTTAGATAGCCTGCCGAAAATGGAATCGCATTATTGCAGGAAATCAACTATAATAGTAAATTATATCTAGAACTATTATGGCAAAGCAAATGTCAACTTTACCATATTTACAAAAAGGAATGGTACCTAGAAAAACGAATCAACAGTCTCTCTTTATCTTCTTTTAAAAACGCTTTCCTGGAAAAGAGGTTGGCTTTGTATAGACCAAAAAAATTTTTTTGTGTGAAATATGTGTCTTTTTTAAAACAGGAAATCTTGATCAAGAAATATTTAGTGAAGCTTAGGTAAAAAAACAAGAGAGACTTGAAAAAATTAAAGATAAAAACAGTGAAAGCATTGTATTGACAATAGATTTACAGGCAGTCCTTATATGTCCTAAGTCCAATGTTTCTTCCCTAAGTTGACATATAAATGATAAAAAAGTTGTAGAAAATTATTCACATTTTCTACAATAGGTTATTTATTATTCTAATCATTCCACTAAATTGTCTTCTAAATTAAATTAAAGTCTATACGATCAGCACGACATCCCTTTTTCGTGCTGTTTCGTATCTTCTGCGCCTGTCAGAATTTTACATTAATCTATTCAAATCAGCTACCCTTAACTTCACTTCGTTGCTGCCTTCTCAAATAGAAGGACGTAATTCAAATCATTTTCTCAGCTTCTCAAATAGAAGCAAGTTATTGTTTTCACGCTTCTCAAATAGAAGCAGTTTTCAATTAACACATTTTATTAAATAGTTAATTAAATTAAACTCAGTGTCTGTGCATAAAATATGTAAGTACCTGAAATAATTTTTTCATACAGAAGATAATCTACGGTTTCGTGCCAACCTTTCATGAATGCCGGTCCGAAAAATTACAGGGTTGCCGGATTTTCAATAAACTACATATAAACTTTATTGTTCTATAACTTAATATAAACAGTTGTGCTTAAGAACAGTGTATATAAACATTTATATTTTATTATTATAAAAAGGGTGATTGGTTGGCGATTCCGCTTTTTTATTTATTTTTGTAAATAATGTAATAAAAATATTTCTAGATTTTATTCTTATTTTAATTATTTCATTTTCTATTTTACTACTCACTACATAATTACATATCCGCAATTTTGCGACCTATGGGTCGCTGGTGCTTCGAGGTTTAATTAATTTAATTTTTTATCTACCAAATGTAGGAAGGTGAGATCATAATTCTTCAAATACTTATTTACTTTTAATTTATCGAACCAGCTACCTCATCCTTTCCCCTACAAAAGTTGACAATCCACAATTTCACATTCTATAACTTACACACAAAACAAGGTCATTGTTTTCTTTGGGATAAGTCGGAGGAGAATCTTACCAGTGCCGAAATTGCTAGTGTGATCGTATGTATTTTAGAAAAATATACTGAAGGGAGTTGTCTTGAGGAAATCGTACGTGAAATAATTATAGCGATGGGTGAACTTACCAAAATCGTAATGTTACTCTAGCTAATGCAATTTTAAACTTTTGTTTAAAGCAGAAGGTAACAGTTATACAAAAATACCTTGAGAAAGGGCACACCCAGATGGAGGCCGACATGATGAACAGTACAATTGAGAGACAATTAAGAGGAAGCGATATTAATGTGCCTGGTGATTACATACAAATATGCAAAAGAGCGCGGAAGGAAAATATATTTGTAGTAACTCGATTATACCATGATTTTCTTAAGGACTTCAGAGCAGTAAACTATGTAAGTAGTATCCAACAGGATAAAAAAGGGTGATGCAGTTGTGACAAATATTAGAGCTACAAAATATTCACCACAAGGTATTCATTACAAGTTGGGATTTGGTGAAAATTGGATTGAACTGCGTTGTCGAATAAATCAGAATGTGATACGCAAGAATTTCGCAGATCTGCCGAAGCTTTATACAAATAGAATACCATTAAAAAAAGACAGATTCGAACATTTTCAGTATTTAAAAAATACGCTTGATTTCGATTACCACTCATTTTATGTCAATCTCCCACATTAACTTTGTTTTTTTTAAGTCCTATCGTTGTTGTACTACACTTGTTTTTGTACATATTTATGCGATTTTATTTTAGATTAAAATTTTATTTATTGCTAAAAAGTGAGGCTATTTATTTCTAACGTAGGTAATAAAATAACACTAAATTTTATGTTAAACGTTTTTCAAAAGTATTTTTATGTGTTTCAGATATGTTTTTATAAATCGTTAACTAATGCTTTTTATTAATTTTTTCCAATCCAGCGTTACAAAAAATGCCACGTAACTCCATAGGCACGTCTTATTCCAAAAGAAGAAAAACCTGTAACTCCATATTTTCTGTATTTTTAGCTATATCTGCTAGATTTTGAAATTAAAATTGATATAACTCTGCAGTCAGATATAATGACCTAAAAACTCAAAATATAGTTGTTTAATCGTCCTTCTTTATCAAATAAAAGATATCAGTGAAAATGTTACGGTTTTTAGGCTCTCCTGAAAAATTAAGGAAAATGGAGTTGACGAGTTTTTCTTGTGTTGACGACGATATACGTCTATGCGATAGACAGGTGAGTTTTACCCCACTGATGAATCGTCATTGCGATAGTAATCCCGTTCACGACAGGTTTGGTTGATGCACTTACTCGAGCGGGCAACGGTGCGTAGCTATCATTCGTGGGATTATATGCCGGAACGCCGTATTCTTTCTAGTCAAAGTTGGCAACGATATCCCTTGGGAGTTCCGAAAGTCCAAAAGCTCAACACAATGTGACTTTACTAGGCAATCGTAGTTCGCTACAATTGATGCATGGGTCCTTATTTCCGTTAAAATTATTGGTTTATAATGGGATCCATCCTTGCCAGTAGACCAATCTAAGGAGGACGAACATAGGTATTTGGGACTCTGAATTGTATGTAGATGACTTGCATACTTGGCAGGATGTTATACAAGGTAGAGCAGTTTCCACGCTGCGATCTGCCGAGACTTAGCCCTCAGCTTAAGGATTTGACTCGTCAGTCAAACGAGACCGTTACTATTATTTATAACAGTTGTTATATTTATTAACAAATAAAGCTGTTATATTTAATAGTAACGGTCGACAGATGAGTGAAATAAAAATTTTATTGCACTAGCGCAATAACGAGCTTTTTTACTAAATACAGTTTTAATAGGTTTGTTTTTTGTACGGTGTGAAGGTGAGTGTTTCGACTCGAAATTGCGGAATGTTTTACTATGCTGGAAACGATAGTAGAACTCATCGCCACGGAGTTAGAACTATTGTATTAAATAGATTGAAATATTCCATTCGTAACTACACTCCCATTTCAGATCCAGTAAAGTTAATGCAAGTAAAACTTAAACGAAATAATCTTAAACTTTTACAAGTCTGCACATACAAAGACGACAAAGATAAAGGCAGACAAAGATGAAGACGAAATCGGTCAATTTTATCATACCTTAAAAGAGGCGATGAGAGCAACAAATACTCAACAAATCACTGTCATACTGGTATATTTTAATACTAAGGTAGAGTAAGAGAGAGTTGGCAAACATATCGAAAACTATGACGTTGTATGGTTCAGAAGAATGTTCTGGGTGAGAAATAAGCGAATGGTTTGGTTGCATCACAAACGTTTTCGGTTCTCGTCGAGTGAGTTTTGTATTATTTTATGATTTAATGTTCAGTTTTTTTCACTGATAATGATCTGATAGGATCGAAAATGTTATGAAAAATTATAAATCCATTTTGGATCATTTTTAAAAATTTTATAAAAATTTTTATACCATTTTAGAAAAACAAGTTGTTCTTCATTCTTCATTAAGTTTTTTTTATTTTTTCAAATATCCATCAACAGTGCAGTTCATGTAAGCGAATAGCTGAACTGGCTTGATGTTAGGACGTCTAAAAATTTTATACATTCTAAGATGGAGGGAAAAAGTTTCGCGGAAGCGAGTTGTGGATGAAGCAAGGGTCCTACTAGATTGTAGTACCAACAAAATAAGTAAATTTGTTTTATTTGGTGGTTATTGACATTTTTATGCAGATAGCGATTATCATTAAACAGAAGAATTTTACGAGAATGGCTGAATAAGTTTTTTCTTCATGTAAATTTAGTTGCTAGCTGTTGGTTTAAAACTATGAGATTGCAGCGTTTGCAGAGCTAAAAAATAATAAAAAACATTCTTACCTGTATTAACTAAAAACGCTCCTGGCCTCATCTGTTTAATAGTAAACTCGTTGATAAGGTGGTGATTGTGTTCGTTGAGTGTACAATGTAGCGACACGCAGTCTGATTGGAAGAGAAGATCTTGAAGGGTGTAGACGCGCGTCAAGCCCAGACTCTTCTCGATGCCATCAGGGAGGTACGGGTCATAAAAAATCACGTTGAAACCAAATACTTTCGCCCTCAGTGCTACGGCTGAGCCGATTCTTCCTAGTCCTACGATTCCCAAAGTATCACCTCGTATCCTGGCACAGCCCGCCGCTGCTTCTCGGACCTACGGATCATCATTGAAAATGTATAAATCATAATATATTATTCGGAAGTAACAATACATGGACCAATCTAGCACATCTGTTAAGATAAACCACCGGATGCGGAAGAATAGAAACATGATTTGCTTGAATAATATATAAGGCGATAAGTAGTAAGAGTACGAGGTTGGATTGAGATAAAACTAGCCTTTGATAGAAAAAACAAGTTTGTTGGAATTAAATCGATTTATTTCTCAACATAGTCCGCTTTTAGCTCGATACACTTAGTAACACGATGTTCTAATTTTTTTATCCCACCCGAATAGTACTTTTGCTCGAGCTCTTCAAAATAGGCCGAAGTTTCAGCGATGACTTCATCATTTGTTGCGAAACGGCGTCCTCCGAGCCATTTTTTTGGGTTTGTAAACAGGAAAAAAATCACTGGTGGCAAGATCTGGGGAATACGGTGGGTGTTCAATCAATTTATAGCCCAATTCGTGTAATTTTGCCATGGCGACGGCTCATCGGTGAGCCGGTGCATTGTTTTGGTAAAAGAGCACTTTCTTGCGTTCCAAAACGGGGCGTTTTCGACGCAATTCGGCTTAGAATCGATCCAATAATGCGTAGTACTCACCATTGATTAGTTTTCCTTTTTCCAAGTAGTCGATGTGGTTGATGCCCTTCGCATCGCAGAAAACAGTCGCCATCACTTTGCAGGCCGAATGTGCACTATTTGCCTTCTTCGGCGGCTCTTCGCCGCGTTTGCGATACTGTTTCGACTGTTCTTTGGCTTCCGGTGTGTAATAATGCACAAAGGTTTCATCAACGGTGATAAATCGGCGAAAAAAATCCTTCGGATCGCCCCTATCATCGCAAAAAGCGTCCCCGAAGTAGTCACACGTTTTTGCATTTGATCGATTTTCAGCAAACGCGGCACCCATCGCGCGGATAGCTTTTTCATGTCCAACTGATGGTGAATGGTGTTGTGTACGCATGTAGGGAATGTTTAGGACCTCTATTAACTCGCGGAGCTTAATTCGACAATCTGTCATAATCATGTTATGGACTTTGTTGATCATTTCCGGCGTGGTGACTTTATTTGGCCTCCCGGGACGCTCATCATCAAAAACACTCGTACGACCACGAACAAATTCAGCTTTCCAAAATTTTATTGTTGCTAACGAAGGTGCAACCTCACCATAAATTTCGTCCAGGTCGGCTTTGATTTGCACATTCGTTTTACCCTTTTTGTGGAGGAACTATCACCGAACGATACTCGACTTTTTCCATTTCTCCGAAAACACAAAATTTGCTTGCTTTTGACGGCTGTAAAAACCAAACGAATCGTTTTTAAAACTTTTGACAGACGTCATGTCAGAATGGTAAATGTCAACTCCGAAACCAATTCGGTATCAAGTAGCGCCATCTATTTAAAGGCTAGTTTAATATCAATCTATCCTCGTATAAGTAAGCTTTTGTTTATTCTGAGGATTTTCCCCTACCTGATCTGTCATTGGTATATACGTTCTTGAGGGTACCAGTAAGTTCATGCTATATTATTTTGTATAACTCAAATCTTATGAATATAAGTCCAGCCTCTGTTTATATGATACACATAAAGGGTATAAGTATATTTTCTGGAAAACACTATTATTTGACTTACACTCTTACGGCTTATCAGCTTATAGTCTAAGATCCCACTGCAAAATCACTAATCAAAGTAACATTTTTACATACATTTAAAATTAGGAGAATACATTGATAATATGTTGCCAGTCAAAAAATCGCCACAAATACGCTGATCATGTATATTAGTCCAGTCGTCAGAGACGAAAATGGATATTGGATTTAAAAATCAATTTACCAAGAATATGTACGCCATAGAAAAACATATTTTAAATAAAAAATGTAGCTGAGATAATTTAAAACAAAAATGTTTATAAGCACTTTTTATGTAGAATAAGCTGTTCTGTCAAAAACAACGCTTGATGGGTAATTTCAATTTCAGTTACGAGCGCGAAATCAATGCTCTATCAAATTTGTATCAAATTGACGGTAAAAATTCAATATCTTTTGATCGGAGGGTCGTATCAACAAAAATCAAGATATAGCGTGCATCTTTCGTATGCAATTTTTTTTGTCACAAATGAGCTCAAATTTTATAAATGTGTTAAATAAATAAACTTGGCGCGAATTTTGCATTTATTATGATTCTCATGAGATCAGTACAATTTATCACTTTAATTGACCGACCACTATTGAGTTTCCATTACTAGAGACTAATCTTCAAAACCTATAGCATGAAATTGTTGCTTTCAGTTTTGGCAACAAATGTGAAGCTTCTGAAATATGTTTAAAAACGCTGAATTTAAACTTTCACATTATAATCGATCTAAAACGTTTAAACTAGCTCGTTTTTAATTACACGTTATTCAAAAGTACGTTTTTCAAAAGTACTCAAATTCTGTTTTTCATTGTATCGAAACCTGTCTTCTTGGAGGCATTTCCCGTAACGTGCGATCGCTTATAATGTGTAAGTTTAAATTCTGCCTTTTTAGCCATATTTCAAATGTCTCATATTTGTTGCCAAAACTTAAGATCGATTTTTTTATGTTTTAGGTTTTGAAAATTGGTCTCTAACAATGAAAATTTCACTATGACCGGTCAATGAAAGTGATAAATAAAAAAATGAACAGAATCACACAACGTTTTTTTATTGAACATATTTATCGAGACTGACTTCATTTGCGACAAAATACAAAATTTGTAAACTAAAAGTGCACTCTTTACCTTTAAATGCATTTTGATTTTTATCAATAGGCCACTCTGATTAAAAGATATCGAATTTTACCGTCGACTTAATAAAAACTTCACATTTCACATTTGACATTCATTTCGCGCGCCTAACTGACATTCAAAATCGTCAGTCGTTTCAAGTGTTATTTTTCTGCTCATTCTATACAAAAAGTGCTAATAAACATTTCTGTTTAAAATTTTCTCAGCTACGTTTCTTATTTGAAACATTTTTTTCTACGGCGTACAGATTTTTGGTAAATAGATTTTTATGCGTTTTTACCCACCTACCAGGAGAGATTTGGGGGAAGCCCCGGGGTAAAAGTGCTAAACTTGTTTGCAACTTTTTTGGGGTCTCAAAATTGATATTCTCGGCAAAATTCACAATATATGCAGGTTTTTTATATCAAATAAAGCTAATAAGGTCAGAGAAAAAATGGTCTCAAATTAGGGTTGCTAGCCGTTAAAAACGCGATATAAAGTGCGCAAAATTCACTGATTTGAAGTGTCAATTGTATGAGTTTTTAAAGCTAGCGTCGATAGATAGTATATTAATATAATATTCTCACTGGTCAAACCAGTGTCGTTGTACGCTAACTCTATTTTATATTACATATATACTTTATTAAAAAAATAAATGAAAGAAATAAAATTTTTGTTCAAAAATTAATTACTATTACTTAATTGAATTAAAAATATATGCTCTCACAAGAAACCTCATCTGTAATAGACAATTACCAGTTACTAATAATCCTAGAATGGTACCGTCCACTATACAGATGCTACTTCCTTATTTAGATATCAATCTGTTGTCGACCAGCCCATTGACGGTCCCTCAAACCCCTCCATGGATATGTAAAGTTCCAAATTTTAATATCGAATTATCCAAATATAATAAGAATGAAATATCACCTTCCATTATCAAACAAAGATTCTATGAAATACTACATCAATGCAACTTCGATAAGATCCTTTACTCAGACGCATCTAAGACTGAAGAAGGTGTTGGTTGTGCTGTTACAACGACTACAACCACCGTCAGCTTGTTTCGACTCTCCAGCAATTGCAGTATTTATACTGCTGAACTATATGGAATACTACAGGCGGTGAAAACTCCACTCAATGATGATAAAACTATAGCAATCTGTACAGACTCTCTGTACTCCATACAGTCCATAAGAAACGTACATTCTATCCACCCAATAGTTCAAGAAATCCAGAGCATATGTAATCGTCTTCAAACTAATGGAATAGCAGTAACGATATTGTGGGTCCCATCACACGTTGTTATTTCAGGTAACGAAAAAGCCGATCAAGCAGCAAAACAAGCATGTTCTCTTAACGTTACAACAGACATTCAAACATCATCAGATCTAAAAAGAACAATCAAACATAAAATAATGGACCTTTGGAATGATCAATGGAAAAGAAGCAATACCAAGTTAAGCGTTCTACAACCAAACATTTTCTACCACAAGCTCTCACCAATGAAAAGAAAAGACAAATCTATCATTCGAAGATTGAGAATAGGGCACACACGCCTTACACATGGACACCTAATGAATTCCAGTAATCCGATTTTGTGCCAGTATTGCAACACCACGACTTCCGTAGCACATGTACTTCTTGACTACTCAACACTTGACTCAACACTACCTAGCGGCCAGAAGAAAATATAATCTTGGTAACAACCTAAAAGACATTCTTATTTCAAACAGCAGTAACTACGAAAATATATTAAACTTTTTAAAAAACACAAAGTTATACAATTTAATTTAAAACAAAATGTATTAAAAAAGTGTATTGTAAGTAATTTGTACTCCATGTAAAGTATTAACCATGTAAACATAAATGTAAATTGTACCTGTATCAATGACCATTAGCTGTCGAGACACATATGTTCGAAATTAAAAAAAATATATGCGGCCACTTTCATGACTGGCAACCTATTGTCAGTGTATCCTTCTAATTTTAACTATATGTAAAATTTTGAGTTTGATTAACTACGTTATGAACGTAGTGATCTTGCAGTGGGATCTTGTACTATTAGATATTATACAGAATACAAACACTTCGATGTCGAATCGAAAAAATATTTTAAAAATAAATAAAAAGGACGGAAATGTTACGGATTTCTTAAATCTTGATGATAATCCTCAATTTACCTACATATTCAAAAGTAATAAATTACATAAACCCAATTTACCTGTTCATTTTGTAGCGCTGCAACTAAAAGAGAGTTTTAGTCATCGGTTTACATATGAACATTCCACTGGTTTTCAAAATTAGTTGTAATAACTACAAATTCTGGACAACATTAACGCATCACTGGTTGCGTTAATATTGCGTTTATTAACATTGATAAACGTAGTACGGATATTTGATGACTTACATTCAATGTCGACGTATCGATATTGTCAGTGTATTAAGAATAAAACCATTTCTGTATAAATCGCTGCTTTTACGATCGTTTTGGAGACAATCTTCTTTTATTAACGTGTTTGAAATTGAATTACTAGTTATTGATGATAATATCATATTATATTGTTTGGAACATTAGTCCAACCACCAAAAGAACAAAGTCTCAATATTTTATATTTGCCAGAATAAATTTTATCATATTTTTAATTTTGTAATCAATTTTGTTTTTTAAAACATCCCACTAAGGCACATATTGATTTTTTATTTTCCGTATGGAATTAACCAACATTTTATTTTCCGTATTATATTCCGTATGGAATACCACTTATGATCATAGGATACTACCGAATAAGGTAAAGCAGTTGCACCTTCTTGGGGAAATGTGGGCAGTTTTAGGAGAGACAGGAACAAGTTGGGTAATATGTTTATTCATACAATTATGAAAGTGAGATACATGCTACACGAATGGAAATGCAGTAGGTAAATTAGTATATGTTTACAAAAACAAGCGAGATATACAACGATGCACAAACGACAGGGCCATAAAACTGTTTTGTCATAACATGAAAAAATGGGATAGAGTAAACGTGAACAAACCGAAATATCTGATAATCCGTTTGCTTTTATGAAACGTAGATCAACAACAGATGCAGCTGATAAAAAAATATGGAATAAAGAAACAGATGCTCATATGATATTCCATATCAATAATTTTGAGAATGCTTAAAGCATAGAGTTCCTCGAGAGATTCTGTGGTGACCTCTAAATAGTAAAGGAATTGCCGGTGAATCTATAAAGATTATGAAACATACATGTATGAGGGAATAACAACTAGTGTTGAGTCAGATGTGTAGAAATTGATAAATTTTATATAAAAGTAAGATTGCACCAGCTCTCGGTGCTTAAGAGTCCTTATTTATTCTCGTTAGTGTTGGATAAGATAACAGCGAAAGTACAAGGTTAGCATTCCATGGTGCTTAATGTATGCTGATGATTTAGTGTTTATTTAAGATTTAAAAATGAAATTAATACAAATAAAATGATAACTGGATGGTGAAATGATTATGAAAAGTAATAGTTTTAAGTATATATAATATCAGTATTACAAAGTAATGTAGAAATAGATAGACACACACGCAGTAGAATTAGGATGGGAAAGATAAAATGAGTCGGTCAGATAGCTCAGCGGGCTGTGCGGCTGCCTCTCATTCGCTTCACTGTCGAATGGTTCAGTGGATGTGGGTTCGAGCCCCAGCTCGGTGTACTGAAAACAAAAAGTCTAACGCAGCAGTTTAAAATTCTAGATGAATCTGCGGCTTAGACTAGGATATGCTGGGATCTGATCGGCCTATGGTGGAGCAGTACGGCAAGAGATAAGGGCTTGCGGCTTGGTCGCATCCGGTAGGGATCCATAGATCCCTACCGGACGGGCGTAACGCCTAAAAAACCGGATATAAATATATATATATATATATATATATATATTATATATATATATATATATATATATAAAGATAAAATGAAAGAAAGAGATTGGTGTGTTGTGTGACAGAAAAATTCCAATGAAGCTGAAGGGAAAATTATATAAAAGACCCATAAGATTAGCTATGACTATGATGTACTTAAGAGCGTAGGCGCAAAATTTCGGGTCAATGCTTTTTAAATGCATTAATTTTTTTCGAATCCTCAGAAAACTAATAGATATTTTTGAAAAATTTAAACGCATAATGAAAGATTGCATTATTACCAAGGGCCAAAAGTACCTAAGAATAAACAAAAAGTTTTTTTGAATGAGATATTTGAAATTAAAAATCACACTAAATTTTCTCTTCTGTTTCACCCCTGTAACTTATGAAAATAAACATTGTAGAAGTTTTGGCTCTCAGTAATAATGTAATCTTTCATTCTGCGTTTAATTTTTTTAAAAATACGTACAGTATTGTGCGAATTAATGGAATCATAGGCTGTTTTAATGAAAAAACAGTTTATTTAGTAAAAAATTATATTTTGACAAAACTATAGAGGTAAACTTACATTATTCAGTAGGAAATATGCCCCCCTTTGGCAGCAATTACTGCTTTTACCCGTTTTGGCATAGATTCTATGAGTTTCTGGCAGTTGTCAGATATCCTTTCATCTCGATACCAAACCTGAATGGCTGCTTCTATCATTTTTGTTTTATTGGTACAGTCGATTTTTCGTAGTCTAGCTTTGCAAATGGCTCATAAATTTTTAATGGGGTTGAGGTCGGGCGAATTACCGGGCCAATCTAAAACATTAATCTTCTTATTTTTGAAAAATACTATCATTTCCTTTGATTTGTGACAGGGAGCAGAGTCCTCTTGAAGAATCGCTCCTCCTTGGGGTTGATATTTTTGGAGTTGTTTGTCCAAATACTTTTCCAACATGGATTTGTATTTTTGGGTGTTCATCATGCCTTCAATTGGCACCAAAGATCCAAACCCCATGTATGAAAAACATCCCCAAAAGATTTTCTTGCGAATATTGAAAAAATGAAAAAAAATTCACAGTGATTCCATTAATTCGCACAATACTGTATTAGTTTTCTCAGAATTCGAAAAAAATAAATGCATTTAAAAAGCATTGGGCTGAAATTTTGCGCCTACGCTCTTAACTTAATGTTGGACAGTTAAAAGAAAGAGAAACAACGAATGCATCTGGCGGAAATGAGAATGGTTAGATGAATGAGTGTGGTGACAAAAAAGGATAAAGTTAAGAATACGTAATATTTAATATACTTAAATAATATAATATACTTAAATATTTAATATAGTAAGTAAGTTATTTAGGGGGATTAGGGGAAGTTTAGAACAGGTACCAATTGATGCCAAAATGATACAGCATACATTACAATGATTAGGATATGTTCAACGCTGACAAAATAATCACCCAATACGAAGAATACCTGTTTTGCAAGTTCCTGGGAAGTGTAGGAGGAGAAGACCAAAGAAGAGTTTGGGCTTGGGCAGAACATGTCAGTAAAGGGGATTGATATTGGTACGACCCACGGTAAAAACTTGTGGAAAAATGTAATTAGGGAAGCCGATCCAGTATAGGTATAAAGGAAAAGGGAATAATGATGATTATGGTCCTACTAAGTCCTTTACTAATGAACATACATCTCAGCAACATATTCTTGTAAATTTTGTACACCGGTATTCCTTTTATCTGCGTCTGACAATTTTGACTTGTAAATTGGAACTGATGTGTATGGATTCATATACGAAACGTTTTACATTACAGGGATGAAGTACTCTTCCACTGCAGTTGCTCGATAACCCCCACGCAACTACTGTTCCCTATTTTTGTGGACATTTTATTGACTAGTTACATGCAGTTGATATTGATTAATTGAATGAAATGAACTAACAGTTTTAAACCAACCGCAGTGAACATTAATATGGTCATCTTAAACGGTAAATGCAGTAATTGAAGAAGGGAGAATATTTCCACATTTATAAGGCATCTCAAGAGATATGGATGCGATAGTTAGGTGTGCAAGAGAATCCACAAAGTAGTAACATTACATTGAATCCATTAATTCCATGATTTTCAATCTTTTAACGCTTCTCACTTAGAATATAGTTTTTGTGTCATCCCATATCATAATAAAAAAAATTTATTTTTAACTATCCGTGTTTGACCCTTGTGTGTGGGTGAAGTACTTGTTAGTAAGTAAAGTTGCCTTCATTGTCTTAAAGAGGCTTCTGCTATATCCGAACGACTGGGGCAATTACCTCGGACTCGATCGACCATCGATCTAATGAACAAGAGAATTTTTCTCTTTTTTATTTAATAAAGAAATTCGCATGAAAGTAAGCTTTTTACTCGATAATCCTGTTTTTATTTTAATTTTATATTCAAAAATGTAATAATAGAAGCTTAATAAAGTAGGTAACTTAATCCCAGTACTTTATTTGCTTGTTTTGTGTAAAATGTTAACAGAAATAAAACATAAATACGTTACCTGTTCTGGTCCTGTGAATTTTTTTCCTTCCCGCACCATATTAGCCAACCAATATGTTCGCCTGTATAGGTTCAATATGAGACACATCGTCGTATCGGCGACTTCTTCTACACCGTATCCCGGCACATTGCACACCGCTATACCCAGTTCACCTGCAGCCTTTACATCAATATTATCTACACCGCTCCCTATACGCACTATAATACGCAGTGTCTTGAATTTTTCCAAGTCCTCCTTAGTCAAGATAATGGTGTGCCACATGAGCGCGCCTACCGCCTCGTTGAGCACTTTCTCGTGTATTTCGCTGGTACTTTGCGCGTCGCAAAACGCCACCGTGGCCACGTCTTTTAAAATTGGCATTTCTATCGAACAATCACGACCGTCCAACAAAGCTACGAGAGGCCTCGTTTGCATGGGTCCGTTTGAAATTGGGCCGCGTGGCTCAAACCTAGGCCTTTTGGGCATCATTTTTCTCTTGTCCATTGGGTGCAACTAACCACACATGCACAAATTGGTGCCACTGCCACGCACGCGCACAATCACACCACCTAGCACTCTGGGTTCCGAATGGGTTCTTCTACTGACCACAGCGTCCGCGACTTTGACCCTTAGGTTACCTTTCGCGGTTTAAGGTGCGCTTCATTGTCGCACATGAAGATTTCTGTAACAAAAAAAAAACGATTAGAAAATTATATTCAAACCAAACAGAATATTAAACGATTCCAAACGATAATAAAACCTACTCATCCGTTTTTTTTAAATAGCTTCTTTGTTTCCCATTGGTACTACTAAAGTAACTTTCCTAAACGCCCCAGGTTTCTCAAGGTATCTACCAGTATACACTTTCATTCTACATTAAATTTACCAACAGTAAAATGTATGTTATTAAAAACAATAAACATTGCAGGAAAGAAGAAATGTAGTTATTTATATTTAAAAAAAAAAAATAAGCGAAGAAGAATTTGGTGAATTTTACAAACAAAATCTATCATCTCAAATGCAGATGGCGATGATTCTAATTATGAGAATGAGTTTCACGCCCTTACATAGATGTTAGTACCAACAAAATTAGTTATTAGTTAAAGATTAGATTAGAATCTATGGAAATTAAACAATTAAAATATACATGAGGAATTCTACAAAAATTTGCACCTTAACTGGAGCCAAATATGGTGATATTGCAATTTGCTGCCCGTACCCCGCAGTAACAATTTTTTTCTGTAGGTTGATACCAAAAAACAATTTTTCAGGTGCGAGCCCTAAAAAAGGCAAATTTAAGTTTTTTCCAACACAAAACTGATTTGTTCGCTAAAGCTATTTCATTCTTCTAGCGATCATTCTTCTACCAATCGCTTTGTCTTCGTCTCCAGAAGGAACTCTGACCCTTTGAAGAGCCAAGAAACACCTGCTTAAAGCGTGGCAAGCGGTTATTCAGTCCCTAAAATCGACTTTATTTTCATTTTTTTTTCAGTTTTTTTTTGTTCTTCCAAGGGTCAGAGTTCCTTCTGGGGACCAAGACGAAGCGATTGGTACCTGATATGTACGGTATACCTCTATAGTTGGTGCCCCAACTATAGAGGTATCTTTTAATCTATTTTCGGGTAAAATCGCGAAAAAATGAAAAAAAAAAAAACGTCGGTTTTAGGGACTGAATAACCGCTTGACACGCTTTGAGCAGGTGTTTCTTGGTTGATCAAAGGGTCAGAATTCATTCTGCGGATCAAGACGAAGTGATTGGTACCTAATATGTGCGTGTGCTCCAACTATACAGGTCTCTTTTAATTTATTTTCGGATAAAATCGCGAAAAAATTAAAAAAACGTCGATTTTAGGGACTGAATAACCGTTTGCCACGCTTTGAGCTTTTTTTTTGGTTCTTCAAAGGGTCATAGTTCATTCTGGGGACCAAGACAAAGCTATTGGTACCTAATATGTATGTGTGCTTTAACTATAGAGGTATCTTTTAATCTATTTTCGGATAAAATTGCGAAAAAATGAAAAAAACGTCGATTTTAGGGACTGAATAACCGTATGCCACGCTTTGAGCCTTTTTTTGTTCTTCAAAGGCTCAGAGTTCTTTCTGGGGACCAAGACAAAGTGATTGGTACCTAATATGTACGTGTGCTCCAACTATAGAGGTATCTTTTAATCTATTTTCGGGTAAAATCGCGAAAAAATGAAAAAAAAAAACGTCGATTTTAGTGACTGAATAACCGCTTGCTACGTTTTGAGCGTGTGTTTCTTTGCTCTTCAAAGGGTCAGAATTTATTCTGGGGATCAATTATAGAGGTATCTTTTAATCTATTTTCGGATAAAATTGCGAAAAAATGAAAAAAAAAAAAAAAACGTCGGTTTTAGTGACTGAATAACCGTTTGCCACGCTTTGAGCTTTTTTTTTGGTTCTTCAAAGGGTCATAGTTCATTCTGGGGACCAAGACAAAGCTATTGGTACCTAATATGTATGTGTGCTTTAACTATAGAGGTATCTTTTAATCTATTTTCGGATAAAATTGCGAAAAAAATGAAAAAAACGTCGATTTTAGGGACTGAATAACCGTATGCCACGCTTTGAGCCTTTTTTTGTTCTTCAAAGGCTCAGAGTTCTTTCTGGGGACCAAGACAAAGTGATTGGTACCTAATATGTACGTGTGCTCCAACTATAGAGGTATCTTTTAATCTATTTTCGGGTAAAATCGCGAAAAAAATGAAAAAAAAAAACGTCGATTTTAGTGACTGAATAACCGCTTGCTACGCTTTGAGCGTGTGTTTCTTTGCTCTTCAAAGGGTCAGAATTTATTCTGGGGATCAATTATAGAGGTATCTTTTAATCTATTTTCGGATAAAATTGCGAAAAAATGAAAAAAAAAAAAACGTCGGTTTTAGTGACTGAATAACCGCTTGCCACGCTTTGATCAGGTGTTTCTTGGCCCTTCAAAGGGTCATAATTCATTCTGGGGATCAAGACGAAGCGATTGGTACCTAATATATATGTGTGCTCCAACTATAGAGGTATCTTTTAATCTATTTTCGGACAAAATTGCGAAAAAATGAAAATAAGTCGATTTTAGGGACTGAATAACCGTTTGCCACGCTTTGAGCAGGTGTTTCTTGACTCTTCAAAGGGTCAGAGTTCCTTCTGGAGACCAAGACAAAGCGATTGGTATCTGATATGTACGTGTGCTCCAAGTATAGAAGTCTCTTTCACTCGTTTTTCGAAGCAGATCTCTAGAAGAATGAAATAGCTTTAGCGAACAAATCAGTTTTTTGTTGGAAAAAACTTGTTGCCTTTTTTTTGAGGCTCGCACCTGAAAAAATTTTTTTTGGTATCAACCTACAGAAAAAAAATGTTACTGCGGGGTACGGACAGCAAATTGCAATATCACCATATTTGGCTCCAGTTAAGGTGCGAATTTTTGTAGAATTCCTCACATATATATCTGAATGACCAACTTGAGATAAACAGTTCTCCCCTCCCCAACTTATTCAGTTAAAGACTAATGAGAAAGGCACTCTACCGAAACAGCTGTAGTGAAAATAAGCTGTTATTAAATGAAAGAGTACAAAACAAAATTTGTCAGTGTTTTGACCAACAAAATTGTTATACATCCTGTACTCAACGATTATAAAATTCTGCAAATAATCCAGGTATGTTGCTAAAGTGTCAGGAGTACTACGATGACAGTGATAACAAACCACTAAACATCAATATTGCATACTGAAGTCAACTTTCTCTATCACTTCCTCTAGATAATTTTGCACTATATTTGCAACGTGCGGTCGTGCATTAGAACAAACTTTTCGCCAATATAAGGAGCAAATCATCGGCTTAGTAACACAAAAATGTAACTACATTTTTTCCAGTTCAGATATCTACACCATTGAACTTACTTTAGTGAGTTCTATTGAGTGACACAAAACTGTATCTCTCCGAACACCTAAAACCCCAGTAAGGAGTTTTTGTAACTACGTTTCTTAGCAATCTTTTAGTGTCACAGAAATGTAAGTGCTGTTACATTTCTGTGACACTATGTTTTCGTACTATAAATAAGCTGATATTGAGTTACATTTTTGTGGCATTAATTTTATTGAACTGAGTGGTGATTGCAGGTAGCAACTGTTGATTTGATAATTTGTTTATTATGTTTAGCAGGGTGGTCCGTTGTATTTGCAGTTCTGTTACAATTGTGAAACACGTGAATCAGTTGACAATTTGTTTATTATATTTAGCAGAATGGTCCGTTACAACTGTGAAGACGTAAATACGTGAATCAGTTTTAAGTTAATTGTTGTAGAGATTGCTATAATAATAGTTTTAATACTGTTTTATAATTATATTATTATACAATAATGGATTTGAGAGAGAAGAGGTTAGTTTTGTTAGCTCTTAACAAATCAGTACGAGATGATAAAACACATAGTCATAATTTACCGATCTCATCACAACAAGTAACATATTCAGATAGTGCCTGTCATGTTTCTACCAGTGAACCTAATTTATCAGGATATGAACAATGTGAGGATATATTTTTTGGTGACGATTAAGAATAAGTGACACTTTATAAAGTGTCTTTTTTTAATAAATATATTGTGGGTATTTCCATCGAGACGTTTAAATAGTATTTAATGCAACAAGAAAATAGCTTCAGAACAATATAAAGTTATAAAATGAATTATGATGATTATTTTTATTATTATTATTAGTAAATTGGGTAACCATCAGTTGTGAAAGTAGATTATAATGCTACAGCAGCAAAGAATTACAAGTAGGTATACCAGTTCATTTTAGAAAAGTCTTTGTTAGTTTATTTTAGTCTTAATTCTACTACAAAGTCATTTGTATTTAAATGGCGTGGTTAAGTTTTCAGACCAGGTAGAGATTAATAAATTTTAATCTATTGTACTTTTAATTATTATACCAGCAACTCAATATGTTCATCTCTCAAAATTTATCGATATTACTCAAATACAAATGACTTTGTAATAGGATTAAGATTAAGCTACGTAAGTCTCCATAATATAGACTTTCCAGTTAGGGACATAAAAATGTATCTAGGCTACTTTATCTAATTGTTGATATTTTGAAAACACAATCTATCCATTATTGCGTATGATTGTATTACCGTAAAGAATAAAATTCTAAGATTAATAATTCGGAACCAAAAAGTTGAGGATAAACTACAGGCCATTACAAAAAGCAAATCATTTTTTTAAAAGCCTCAAATAAGCTCTCCTGAAAAGTAGTCATTTTTTAGATACATTTTTGTGTCACTAAGCTGACCAAATGGCACAACGTGGTCTTGAAGAACGTCAACGATATATCGGTAAGCGTTGATGGTACCGTTATTTAATACCACCAAAACTGTCGTTCCTCGCATCTTACACTGTGCATACCGTTCGTTCTGACGTCGGTACACGCGAATACGCCTATCACAATTGTAAAGACAGAATCTGCTCTCAACTGTAAACAGAACTCTATTCCAATCAACCTCCAACAAATGGATATAATTTCGTGCAAATTCTAAACGCGCTCTGCGATGAGCTACGGTCAAGGGCCCTGTGGCAGGTATACGATTTACCAAATTACCTTCCTTGAGACGTTGGCGAACAGCTTCACAGCTGATTCGACCATTATGAACATCTTCAAGTTGGGATTGTAAGCTTC